TTCAGCGGAGCGCAAGCCGGGGAAGGATCGCTCGGCCCCCCTCCTACCTTCAGAGACCCAACGAATCCACCAGCATAGTCAAGGGGCTTCAGCCACGGGATAAAGGCGCTGGCCTCTTGTTCATCTTCCAGCTCCTCCTCTTTCTCAGCTGCCTCCTCACGGATCAGGCTATTACTAGTGCCTGCTTCGTTGATCCTCCTGCTTCTGCTGTTCCTGCTGCCTCTGCCGTTCCTGCTGCTCCTGCGCCCGCGCTGCTGCCGAGCAGTAGGGCCCCGCCCCCAGTAGTGCAGTGAGGTGTCCCACAGGAAGTTTATCGCTCCTCCACCACCGCCGCCCCCCGTACAGCGGCCTCCGTGGCCTCCCTGGGCCGAGATTGTGCCGTGGCCCTTGAGCGCCCCCGCCTCTATAACTATAGATCCCCCAGCTCCTCCTCCCTGCCCGAGCTGCGCAGGATCGGCAAGGATCCCAGACAGCTGACACGAGACGCTATCCAGAGTGGGTGTGGGTGTCGCCTCATTAGGGGTCTTGGGGTCCGTCGGGCCCCGCTCTGCTGCATCGGTTGTCTCTTGTGCTGCGAGGACTTCCTCTAAAGGGGCCTCGCTAGCGGCAGGGGGTACACCGGGAGGCTGCAGTGCTCCATCTGGTGCAGCGCTTTCCCCTGTCGTCTCCCCTGGTGTTGGGCCTGAAGAGGCGGCGTCTACGCCGCCCGGCTTCGCTTCTGCTGCGGCGTCTGGGGGTCCCTTGAGTGTCTCTGAGAGGGGAGAAGAAGGCAGAGGAGGACAGTCTTCCGGGTCGACCTCAACGTCTATGATGGCCTCCTGCATCAGCTCTCCGCCCCCTCCATCTGCCGTCACCTGCCCATCTATCCTTACAGTCTGCCCCTGCACCCACACAAACCCGCCCCCGCTACCCGCGCGAGCCAGGTCACCTCCGCCTCCTGAGGCGCTCGCTGTCGAGGCAAACAGGGTGGGGTTATTATTCTCTGTGAGGGCGAAGCCATCATTAGCAAGCGCCCTAGCAGCAGGCAGCCCGCCAGGGAGCAGTATCCGGGGGCGCCGGTCGTAGCTGAGGCCCCCGCTACCTCTGCACGCTTTTCCTGTCAGTGCATGCACCCCGTCTCCTCCCGCCCCCACATGCCCCCCTCCGCCTCCCCCGCAAAGCGCAGACTGCTCCGCGCCAGAAGGCTCAGTGGAGGCGTCGCTGCTGCTCAGAGAGCTCTCAACAGAGACCCCCCGGCTGCCCGCACCGGGTCCTGCAGGCAGCAGCGCAGAAGACACCAGAACCCCCCCGAAACTCGCAAGCAGCAACAATACGCAACTAGTCACCCTACAGTCACCCACGAGAGAAATTGGGGGTGTTAGACGGGCGCGGGGAGGGGTGCGGGTGGAGACAGCAGTCAGAGTACTGCTGAGTTTGTTCTGTGGCTGGCTGTTCGAGAGGGCAAAAAAGAAAAGAGCAATACACACCGCATGCAGGGGTCGCTACTAGGAGTGGGGAGGCAGCTGAGGTGCACTAAAATCTGAAAGGGAATGATTAGGGCCCCTGAGGCTCTCACCGTGCAGAGGCTGACACCCCCGTCGGCTGGCATCGACTGTCCCCCGCAGCTCCGTGTTGCCTCCGCCCCCGCAGAGCAGGAGGCCCCCCCCAACAAGAGATGCCCCCGACTCCACCAGGAGACTCTCCCCAGCGAAGACGGCGGCGTCAACATAACTCCAGGGAGCAGCGCCCCCGTACAGAATCGCGCCGGCGTCCACCGCACCTAATGCGCCCAAGCTGGGGGCCCCCTCTGGGCTGGCCGTGTCCTCTCCCGCAGCGGGGGGCCCCCGCGGGACCCTGACAACCAGTTGGGGGCCGTCAGAGTCCAGGGGCACAAAGGAAGAGAGGCTGCGCCACAAGGACGAAGGAATACCCAGAGGAGTGAATATTGCAGCCGTCCCCTCTGCAGGCTCTTCAGAGGCCGCCCCCGCTTTCGCCTTCTCTTGCTCGGCTCGACACCCTCGCGGAGCAGACGCGTCATCGTTGGCCTCAGCTGCTGCTGCTTCTGTTGTTTCTGCTGCCGCTGCTGCAGTTGCTGCTGGTGCTGTTGTCTCTGCTCCTTCTCTCGAGGTAGCTGGGAGAGGAGACAACGACTGAGTGCCATCAAGTGCCTCACCCTGCTCCCCAGAAGAAGGCGATATATCCGGCCTCAGCAGCTGGTGGAGCCGCCCCCCAAGGCGACGGGGGCCCCGCCTCGAGGCCCCCCCTGG